CTCCTCCCTCCCTCCCTCCTCCTCTCTCTCTCTCTCTCTCTCTCTCTCTCTCTCTCTCTCTCTCTCACGTACATAGCTTGAAATTGAGTGTGGTAGAGGATATGCGCGCGAAAAAACGTAGCACAATTATCAATTAAGGCAGATTTCGAATTTTTAATCAAAACTAACTTTTGCAGGGTATCGTTCGGTTGCCGTCGAGGGAAATATTTCGATCCCCGCGACGGTGGGCGAAAAATTCAACTGTTATAAATAAAAATTCATTCGGCACGTCTCGACAGGTAGCCAGATTAATTAAGCAGTTTTGGTCGCAGGGAATACAATGTTTTGCCTTCAAGGGACACGATCGGGTCACGAGTCGGATGTTTATTGAGTTTTGTGAACCTAACGCTGGTAATCTTGCTTAAAAAATCCGATAGAAATAGAATCGATATAATTGTATTATATTTTTTGATTCATAAATATCAGATTCTTCTGTACAATAAATACTTCATGTCTTCTTATTTCATATCTATTCGCATTAACACAAATTGTTTATTATTAAAAAAAGATTTAAATTTGGACAAATTAAAAATGTACAAAATTTAATTTCCGAGAGTGCTGATTAAAATTTTTAATATCTTTTTGTCACGAAGAAAATTGAACTGTAGCGAAAGCCCAATATTTTTTAGTTCTATAAAGTGAAAATGTTCGCGAAACATTCCATTAACATGTGTTAGTCACATGTCAATGACTAAAGTTGGAGATTTTCTTGAATCTCTTGGTATCAGATATCAAGAATGTCTCCATGAATATCTCATTGAATGTTTGCTATGTATACATATTTTAAAGAAGTATACACAAAGTAAGAAAGATTATTTACAAATTTCTGCAAACAAAATGCTTGTATTGTTGGTATCTGTTCTACTTAAAAAAAAGGGCATAAAGTCGATTACTCGAAGTTTATCTCTCAAAGTTTATTGTTGCCTTTTTTCCACGATGTCGATTGGTTCCCTCGTTGTGCTAACTTGATGAACGGCTGTTATCGCGTTTTGACGTTGTGTGAGTTGAATGCATCAATAGGTTCCAGAGTGTAATGGTAAAATGTTAATTTCTGCTTCTTCTGTTTAAAAAAATATATAACGCGCGCGTCACGTGCGTTGTGTTGTTTAATATAAATCACACACATGTTCACGATAATAAGCGCCAAGCTTGCCTTAAACATGAGCCAGCGTATCCTATTTCTACGCTTGATTCCAGTTACTTGATTATTAAAAAATACTGTTATTACACAAAATAACATTTTGTTTAGCAACGGAACTCTTTCTTTCAATTAATAATACTTCGACTCTCTCACAATGAATAATATTCGTACGAAATTTCGAGTTGCTCGAACATTTTTTTCTTCCTCTTGAATCGAAGTTTTCTTTCGTTATAATATCTGTTATAATATCTGTTCGTTATAATATCTGTTCGGTTGAAATAAAACTCAGGAAAAAATACTTATGTTACGAAAGAAATATATTGTAATAACTTTTTTCATTGTTCCTTTCACAAAACATAAACAGAATGCAATACCAACTTGTCTTTTATATCAACGAGCCTCGGTCTCTTCTATATAGGAGATTTTATAACAAGCAAATTACCTTTCCTGTGGGAACTGATTTATCAGTTTAACTTGTTTTATTTGTCTCTGAGAGATTGTTTGCAAATGATTACACGTTACATAGAAATCTATGACAACAATCACTTTTTATCCTCTCGATTGTACGATCTCCCAATTTCACATTTTATACTCGATCTAATATATGTCTATTATTGATCAGAGACAAATATCAGTTAATTTCAAGCAGAACAAATAATTATAGACTCGGTTTTGATCAACACATTTACATTTCTATTTCTATTAAGAGAAAGAGAAAAGATAATGGTTATGCATACCGACATACACAAATCCAGTGATCAGAGGATTTATAATAGAACTATTCAGAATGGATTTCAATCAGAATTGTGCAGTTTTCTACGTTTTTACGGTGTTTTCTAGGAAAAATGGAATAATTCCGATCCGAATATATTCCAAACAATTCCATAACAGAGCCTTTCATGTGATTGGTGCAACCAAATATGAAAAGTAGAAGAAATTTCAATAATTTAGTACTTCTAGTGAGGTACTAAACCGCGATTCTATTTATCTATCTATCTATTATCTTATTCTATCTTATCTATCTTATCTTATTTCAATATGTCACTTTTCACGGCTGCGCCCGTTTGTTTGTATTAACGAAAAATATGATTATCTAAAATTAAATATTATCAATATAATATGAATAAAACATGTAATATGTAGTTCTGAGAATGTTTAATTCAGTGATAATTAGTAGATTTTAGATTAAATTTTGACTCTTACCTCGCATATGCTTCTATTTATAAATGATGATTGGACATTGAAAAATAGAGAATTATAAATTGTAAATGAAGTATAAAATAAATAATAATTTGTTTATAAAAACCTCTATTTTATTCATATCAATAGTATCGAAAGATATATCGAATATATCGTGTATATCCTATATTCGAATTGTTTCCCTCTATTCGAAATGTTCAAATAATTTGAATTAGACCATGATTGAATTAGACCACAGATTTGGATCAAATCAAATTTCAATGATTTGAACATCATCTCCAATTTTTTACACTACACTAGGTAATTACAAAATAGTAATGCAAGTATATTTTCAAAAGTACAATCATACGATATTTTATTCAAAATGGTTTTATCAAAAAATTAAAAATTAAATACTTTTTATTCATTATAAATAAATTTGTATAAATTTATTGAAAAATTGTTGAAATATTTCTAAGGCTCACGCGTTACTCAACTTTAACAAGCTTCATGGCGATCGATAACCTAAAGCCTTCAGTTTCGTTACTTTCCATATAAATTCAATTAATCGTCTCCACGCGATGGGTCGGGAGTAATTTACGGTTTATTCTCTCTCACTGTGTCGCCGAACTTTCCGCAAAGTTTACAGTCAATAAACGTAGGCTCCTTACCTCGACGGGATTAAGCATGGTTGTGCTACGTCTTCCTTTTCGTTACTACCGCTGGCTGTAACGTTCAGCAGTATATGTTGATGCTATCGTTAAAATTTTGATTGTTGTATAGTTTACTCACGATTGTGTAAAGATAAGGGCCATAATAACTTATTTAAATAACAATGAGAAATTATTAAGACAAGGCAAAATCATGGTTTATATCTTTGAATTGTTTTATTATCAGATCTCACGCGTCCTCGAAAGAACCTGATCTTTTCGAAAATATTGTATTTCAATAATATTTTATTAATAGATATAAATTTTATAAGTTGTTCAATAAATTAGTAGTATTTAGATTTTATTTAAATTAAATTTTATTTGAGAGCTAGAACTAATTTCCTATAACACACACAAATTGTTCAATGCAGTGTGATAATAACATTAGACTTAAATTAATCTATTTCTTTTTCTAAAAAATTACTTGAAAAATTAATCCCATCGAAAATGTTTTCAATTTGTACTGTAACTTGTATTGTAAATACGCTGTTATTTCCTTTTTCGCTAAACTTCAACCAATAAGAAAATAGTAGAAAGAGAAATCTGTGCCTTCACATTTATTTCTCTTTTTCTAAGTCAAAATGAAAGATCAAAGGACTTTTATCGAAACCATAATTTCGTTCCATCCAATTCTATATGTCGACGGTTTGAACGAACCAAGTCACCGGAAGCCTAAAACTGATATTTAACGGTCTTCCGGAAAAATTTCTTTTGTCCCCTTTGGGATCTGTTTTCGTTCAGATAATATTTTTGTTCTGACGAGTTCCGACAGGCTCGTAAAGTAGAAACATTAATTCTTGAGAAAAATATTGTAAGAATGCTTACCAGGCAAGTGATTGGTGCTAGAATCACCCAGCTCAACCACCAGTATCCGTGGAGAAAACGGCCAAACGTCATCTTCATCTCCGCAAGATTGTCGATGAATCTGTTACATCCATAGATCCAAGAAGGCACAATGAGTTCGGCAAAGCCGATCAATAGTATCGCCCAGGAGGCTGTGTGCCAGTCCATCAGCTTGAACAGGTAGATACCGCCGTCGAATATCATCGGAATCGCCAGGAGCCAGCAGGCAGCGCATATAGCCAGTATCACGATACTCTCATATTTTCGCAAATCCGGATGCCTGTCCAGTATGGCGGTGTTTATCGCTTGCACGCCTGCGAACTGTATCGTAAAAAGTAACGACCGCGGCCGCGCATTTTCTTCCTTCTTCAATCCCTCCCCCCTCCCCCGCGCGCGCGTATCGCCATTTCCTCTTTTCCAGCCCTTCTCTCTTCCCCTACCTCTATGTGTTTTCCCTCTTCCATTTACTTATTCTCGTAGCAACTAACTACGCGTTCTCGATCCGAAAGTGCCCAAAAACAGACGCGAGGGCGTAAACGGTGCGGTGCAAACGTAAAAAGAAATCGAAGAACCGAGATCTCCACTCTCATTTGCCATTAATGTTATAACGAACGTATTTTGTTCTATTGTACTCGCGTACTGTATATTCACGCGGCATCTTTACGGACTTTCATTCGTTCGCCATTGCCATTTCATCAGAGCGAACCGCTGAAAAACGGAAGGGACCGGAACTGAGGCTACAAGGAGGAAGAGAAGGTGTAGATTTCACTCTGAGACGTTGAGCCATAATTCCCTCCGTGATATACGAGCCCCGAGGTGAAAAGATGGAAGTCTCGCGATGCAAAAGCAACGCAAAACGATCACCGTCCGACTAGTCGCTGGGATGAAGCGCATCCCTCTCTCGCCCGCGGCATCTTTTGACAAATACGCCGACCGTTTGTCAGGGGGTGCTTGAATAGTGTCTTCTTAGCCTCGGAACGGATGTGAAATCTTCGTGAAATAATCGTCGATGAGCAATATAAAAGTTACTATGGTTTGTCGTATCCCCTACGAGTTCTGTTTTATAATTTTCTAACCCGTGCATTATAAAAATCTATTTACACATGCATAGAGAAACCGATTTATCGTGTGTCTAAAGGCCTTAATGATACATCAAATCGTATCTTATAAAATTGCCGATATTTGATTAATTAATAATTAATATTGATTGCGATTAAAAGTAAAAGTAAAGTAGATATAAAAAATATTTTTAGTTTTGTGTTATTAATAACTCAAAATTATTATTGCAGTCTTCATTTTTTTTAAATAAGCGAACTGTTATTATTGTTAATTCCTTTCACAAAAATAAAATATATGATTTTCATATATGTAGAAGATTGCAAATTTTTTTCTTATATTCTTATGTTCTTATATTTCTTGAAATACATAGAATTCAAAATAGATAAAAGCTAAGATAGATAAAAACATTAAATTCCTGTGGAGAGAGTTTTGAATCCCAAGGAAAGCATTATTTGATTTTTTATTTATCAATAATTCTTTTCATATGAATAAGCAGAACTTTTACGGATTATGAATACTTTTTTTCAATAAATCCAATCCGAAAAAAATTTTGTAGAGGCAGGTATGCGAAACTCCTGCTGAGAAAACTCATTAAGCAAAGGGATACTTTCGTTGGTTTGGAATTTATAGACTTGGAATGTTAGGTCTTCGTTTTGAAAGGTTTTGTTCAATATAAATACAGCTGAAAGCGCTTCTTTTCCTGGAAAAAATTCTATTTATAAAAAGACTTCGATAATGATTAAAGAAATTTTGAGAAGAAATCCATTTTGAGAAAGTAAACAAGGACAAATGTAAGAATTCTAAGAACATGCATTTTTTAGAGGGAGATGAAGAAGCAAACTATTAATGTTATTAATGCGTATTTTAATTGAAATTTATTTATACAGTATCTTCATCAGTCCCTGATGAAGTGAACTGCAATATTCACGAAACGTTGGCAACAATGCATAATGATACGGACCAGTAAAAACATTTATTTTTTTGAAAATAGTAACCGTGGAAACCTTAAAAGCACATTTTATTTTTATTTATAGAAAGAAAAAAATGACAATTTTATATGATACGATTTAATACATAAGTAATTATCTTATATATCATTATTTAATTAATAATATACTATTACAGTTTTACAAAAATATTTATATATGTAATTTTTATAGATTCTTTAGATTATTAACTATAAGAACACGATATATTTTCTAATATAACTTGCATAATACATATATAATATTTAATGATAAATTAAATAATGAGTCATTTGGTTTTGATTTACGTAATTGTTAACTACGGTGCCATACAATGGAAATATATTATTACATCATTAAATTGAAATGTTGGTACAAATATAGAAAATTAAAAATATCAAATTAAGTGTAACGTTATAAAAGCATGAAAGTATATTTTATCTTTTAGAGATAATGACGAAAGAGAGAAAATAATTTCTTTCTCGACATGGCATGTTTTGTAATTATCGTAATTGTTGGAACAGTGGTATCAAATATTAGCTTTTTATATCTTAAAACATATTGTTAACAAAAAAATAAAATATCATTCATCATATTTTCTTATAAAATTTTATATATTAATTAAAAAGGATAAAATAATAAAAAATAATAAAAAATAATAAAAATAAAAATAATTAAAAGGACAAGTAATAGAAACAATAACAAATTTGTATCGTGAGAAATATAAATTGTATGATTATCGTATCGCACGTGTTATTTTGTTCTGTTTTAATGTATGCGCAGTTAAACAATTCTAGATATAAGTAGGGATCCGCGCGTACAAAGTGCAAGAAGGCGAAAGTCGGACCATCTTGTAAATATACAACTCGTTGGGACAAATGCAGTTAGCGCGGCGATGTTTCTCGTTACGTGAAGGAAAATTGAAATTCACGTCTCTCGTTTTCTCTGTTTCTATTTTCCCTCTTTCCCTATTTCAGCCAAGCTCATCGCGCTAATAATTATTTTTTTTCATCACCATAAATGACGAAGAGTGGAAGTGGTATTGTGCTCGGTTTTTGCTCGCGCGAAAATGGAAATAAAATCCTTTATAGTCTCCTTAAATGTTCGTGCAATAATATTTTTCACTTGTGTTTATCGTTACCGCAATGCGAAACGGAAGCTCGTAAGATTGAAAAATCTCGAAATACATAAAGCGCGAATCGCTCATGTGCTTACCTGACTACCGAGGCCGAGTATGAAGAGCATGAAGAAGAAGAGGATAGCCCAGAGATTCGGCAACGGCATCCGCACCACCGCCTCCGGGTAAGCGATAAAAGCCAGTCCCTCTGCATTCTGGACCACATCCTGGATCGGCATTTGCATCTCCCGGGCCAGGAACCCAAGTATCGAGAATATCACCAAGCCAGCGAAAACAGACGTTAATAGATTCGTACATGTGACGAGAATGGCATCTCTGGAAGCAAAAGACCAAAATTCAAATTACCATATGAGAGATGTTGAATCTTAGGGAAATTTCTTCTTACAAAGAAAAACTAAGCATTAAGCACTAAGCACTAAGAAAAGGATTTTTATTTCTCCCCTCTTAAAATAAAAGTAAAATTCTTTTAATCCCTAATTATAACAAATCTTCCTCATTTCTTCGATTTCCAATATAATTTCCAGATTTCCAATCCCAATGTTTATCTCTTTTCTTTATATCTTATAGATTTGTAAGATACATTTTAGACATATTTTTAGATCATGCGCAAATCATATGAATTATTCGAGAATATTCTAAAAATATTACTATTCAAAAGGAATAAATAGCAACTTGCCTACTATAAGGATCATAATTATATTACACCACTCGTTCTCATTGATCGAATTATTATACTTAATTTAAGATGTTTGTCTTTATCCACGAACGCGTTTTCATATCTTATACTCAAGTCTCGGAACTTCAATTGATCATTACCGGCCATTTTCCATTACCGAGACGACATCATCGAGCCACAGAGTTAAAATAAAGTATGCCACAATTACTGTGTCATAAAGAAATATACTTCCCACATAATTTTTCCCACATAATACCCACATAGTTTTTCCCATAGACTTCCAACATTATTTTTATCATATACTTCTCACATAATTTTTCCCATATACTTCCCACATAGTTTTTCCCATATACTTCCCACATAGTTTTTCCCATATAGTTTCCACATAGCTTTTCCCATTTATTTCGTACATAGTTTTTCCCATATACTTCCAATATTATTTTTATCATATACTTCTCACATAATTTTTCCCATACAATACCCACATAGTTTTTCCCATATACTTCCCACATAATTTTTCCCATACAATACCCACATAGTTTTTCCCATACTTCCCACTATGTACTTCCCACATTGTTTTACCATATACTTATCGCATGGTTATTTCCATATACTTTCCACATAGTTTTTCCCATATACTTCCCACATAGTTTTTCTCATATACATCCCACATAGTTTTTCCCATATACTTCTGACATAGTTTTTCCCGTGTACTTTCCACATAATTTTTCCCATATACTTCCCACATAGTTTTTCCCTTATTCTTCCCACACAGTTTTTCCCATCTAATTCCCACATAGTTTTTCCCATCTATTTCCCCACATAGTTTTTCCATCTAGTTCCCACATAGTATTTCCCACCTAATTCCTATATAGTTTTCCCATCTAGTTTCCACATAGTTTTTCCCATATACTTCCCACATAATTTTTCCCATATACTTCCCACATTGTTTTTCCTATATACTTCGTACATAGTTTTTCTCATATACTTCCCACATAGTTTTTCCCATACAATTCCCACATAGTTTTTCCCGTATACTTCCCATATAGTTTTTCCCATATATTTCCCACATAGTTTTCCCATATACTTCTCACATAGTTTTTCTCATATTCTTCCCATATACTTCCGACATAGTTTTTCTCGTGTACTTCCCACATAATTTTTCCCATACATTTCCCACATATTTTTTCCCATATACTTCCCACATAATTTTTCCCATATACTTTCCACATAGTTTTTCCCATATACTTTTCACATAGTTTTCTGAAACGTCACCGGACCATGAACCAAAAGATTAATAGGTACTCAGAGTCAGTGTGGTTAATTAAATTAAATACGTCTTGCGATAAATTATTCGCGCGACCGAACGCGCAGCGAATTCTGTATATCCATCCTACGTGACGGATATATCAAAAATCAGATATTTTGCTTTTTAACCATTTCTGTCTTTCGTTTTATTATTAAGATATCCTATGTTCGCAAACGACCCAGTTCTCTTTCCTCCCTTTATCTTAAATATGCACGCTCCGTTTTAGTATAATCGCACCTGTGACAATTGTTCGTAAAATTGCTGTAGCTCGCAAGGGTCACCAAGGATCCGCAGGCGATGCCGAGCGAGTAGAAGATTTGAGAGGCTGCATCTGCCCACACACTTGCGTTATTCAGCTTCGAAAAATCGGGATATATGTACCACTCCATGCCATAAGTGGAGCCTTCCAGCGTAACACCTACAAGATTATTTCTCTCGTCATGATCCCGGCAGAAGTTTCATCTTTTCATACATTTTCCATTATTTTTAGGCATATCTAAAATTCACTCTAAAAACAAATGCAATTTGCAAAATAACTTGTGGAAAAATAGATATCTTATTGATCACAATTGTACTAAATCTAATGTAGAGGTAAATGAGGGACAAATGACGTAGTACTTGGATGATGTTTTCATAAATTCTGTCATGTAGCATCAATATTTATTCTTTTAATTCTTTTCAAGCCGTTGAATGTAAATAATTATATGATAGAATTTATAATCTTAGAAGTCTAGTCACCATACTTATCTCCTCTTCGTGCATCGCCTGTTCTTCATTTAAGTTGTAGAATTGTATTCCTTTAGGCAATAAAGATTTGTAAAAATAAATTATTCTTATTATAATACAATGTAAAAATGTTCCAAAAATTAATTAGTATAAACAAAGAATTATTAAGCTGTGGAAAGAAGATTTTTAAATGTTAGTCTAACGTTTATATAAAATGTTTTATTTTAATCTCAACAGTTACATGCTACAAAAGCTAACCATTTTATAAAACATATTTTAAACAAAAATTGTAAAGTTTTGAAGGCTACATCATTATGATGAAGAAATGGTAACTCTAAAAAAAAATATTAAGACATCTGCAACTTCATCTATGAATGAATATTATAATCATGTAACTCCCTCAAAACTCCTTATAATTTTTGTCTGAAACGTTTTTATTTTATATAATATCTTACATAATCTATTTTTATATTTCTTTAAAATATATCTAAATTAGATATAATTAGATATTTTTTTAAAAGAATAATAAATGTTAATAGAATATATTTTACAAACAACTTTTTTGAGAAAAACAATTTTTTTGTTTAAACTTTTTCTAGAATTTCTAGAATTCTAAAAACTTCAAAAGAAAGAAAATAATTTCTTTTCATAAATTTCAAAGAAGTTGCTCCATTGTAGGATCGATTTAGATATATGAAATTTGAAATTTGTCTCGGCTTAAATGTTAAAAAATTAAAAGTTTATTTTTTGCAAGTCATACTTAGAATGAAAAGAACAAAGGCTAAAATAAATCAATGTCTGACTAGAATTTCATAAGTTATCCATACGTCATGTTGAATACAATTAGTGCGCTTCATTTTCTTTCTGACTTTCTTGATCACTGTTTTTCATCTTTTTCTTTTATCTTAAATTTTTAATCCTCGCTGTCATCACGACTTTATTACATTTTGTCTTTGTCCATTTTAAAATCAATATAATTAAATATATTACCCTAGGATTGAAGCGATTTATTATTTATTCAACTCGGAATAAGTAAGAAATTTATTTAACTTTATAACGCGGATCTTAGACAGATTTTCGAAAAGTGGAAAAAGATCTCAATTAGAAGTTTACCTAAAGTAATTGGAATTTAATTCTTTTTAAACGGACTCTTCGTCCGCCTCTTTTAGGCATTTATCGAATAAAATCTCTATAACAATATTTTCCAGTTGCAATAGAATACCTTTCACTACACTATTGTCAGGGATCAACTTGAAATTATGTTTAAATTGAACTTCCGACATTGAAGTGGTTCTGTTATATTCTTCAACTGACAGTTATGGTAGGCTACATTATTATTAGCAATCAAAATCTATTTTCAGAATATATCACAAATCACAAATCATTATTAATATTTAGAAAAAGATTCCGATTTATTTTGGTATTAAAACTAAAAATTATCTTTATTAAACGAAATTAACTTACGACAAATTACCTTTAATAATCACTTTAATAATCACTAATCAAATTTTCCTAAGAAAACAAAGAAAGAACCTCGCCCATTTTGAACCAATCGTGTGTACTTATCGATTACCATTTTTTTTAATAATAGAAATATTAAAAATTAGCTAATTTTAAATTTTCAGAAATTCCTGCAGAAAACGGTTATAATTTTTTAAAGATATCATCTTATTCGTTTGATGAACTCATTGTCAAAGCTATCGAAGCTGAAAAACATGTCACTAAATATCCTCAAAAGATGTTCATGTACTTGAAGAAAATATTTATATAGATATATAGATAGATATTTATATGACATAGATACCAAATAAGTAATGTGTGGGTGCAACTTACATCGAAAAATATGCAATATTTGCTTATTATCTTTGTTACCGCAAGGAAGTGCCTTAAACACATGAACAAATCTTATGACGAAGGGGAATGAATAAACAAGGATCTAGAAATATTTTTAATTACATAATGAAAAATTATTAGTTGATTGAAAACATCTTACAAGCATAAATAATAAAATTAATATGTCACATTAATGAGATCCCAACATAATCTGTAGCTATTTCAGTTGTTGATATTTATAAAGTTTTAATCTATTCTTCATGCTTTAATTTGATAACTCATTTCCGTACGCGATTGGCTCAAATTTATATCTAAAATGAACAAAGTTCTTTCACTTAAGTAAAACAGAATAAAAGACTCATAAAAGTCCAAACTTTATTCTGTACTACGTTAATCTGTAGTGCTTGACATAATATTTGGGCGTGATTCTTCGTGATTCGTGATACTTCTAATTCTGGAATCTATTTGTTTTTTAAGAGAAAGGTTCTTTCTCAAAGGTTCTTTTTCATTTAAAGTTCCTTGAGATCAGCAGTAATTCGACAAATAATTAGTAATATTATTACTTTTGAATTGTATGCTTTTAACGTGATTCCATAAGTATTATCTCTATCTTAAACTAGAATTTAATATACATAACATATACATAACGTATATAATCTTGCACTTTTTGAATCAGTAAACACAATAATAACAATCTTATGTGTCTTAAGTCGTGGGAAAATAATAATCAAAAATTTGAAACGAACACAAGGAAAGTTTCTCTTAGTAGTGATACACGATTAAGAGGAAAAGATCTTTCGAAATATTAAACATTTCACATTTAGCAAATGTAACGTGGCACTGCTTTAGTTTCTGTTTCTTACCTCGTATTAGCAGAATTGTGAGAACGACGTAAGGGAAGAGCGCGGTGAAATAGACAACTTTGCCAACGGTCTGGATACCGCGCACCAGGCATAAGTAGCACACTATCCAAGCTAGCGTGAGGCATCCGAATAATTCCCATCGTATGCCGCCAAAGTTTTCCCATGTAGCTCCGCGCAGACCGAGAACGTAGTCTCTGGACGCGATCGACAATTACACACTTTGCAGGCGCGAGCCTTAAACAATTTTTCTCTCACACTTCTCAACAGCGGCTGAACAGCGGCGTAAGGCTCGTTACCGATCCTCCCGACACGATGCAGCGCTGATGACAATGTATACTGTACCTAAAGTACTCCTCGGATGACAGGGTCCGGTTGTAGAGTTTACCGAATGTTACGGCCGTGCCATTTGCGTGAATACAATGGGTACTATTATTGTCGATGTAGTCAAAGCTGGAACAGACCGTACGGATAGCTACGCAGGTCTTATTGTAAAATATAAAAGTCGAATTACTAGTTTCTTTGCACGCATTATCCTGAAGGCCACTGTAACAATCTGTCGACATTAACATTATAGGTATGTAATTTAAGAAGAAATTGATTACGATACGATAATTAGTTGTTTCCTTGTATCATCAATCTAACATCTCTTTGAGGATTTTCTATTAATTTTTTTCTTATTACACATATATTCGATTGAGATTCAAATTATCATATAATGATAGGTGAATTACGTTAATTTATACTATCTCATATATTAAACAAATTAATCGATTTAATTCCTCGTGATGAGCCAAAACATTTTTTAGGCTACTTTATATAAATTATTATTCTTTGTGCAATTTTACACAATGTAAACAACAAAAGTTATTAACAATATTCAAAATCTTATTTTTGAGAATAAATTTGATCACGTAATAATAGTTAATTGCAAGATTGCGAAAGTTAAAATTTAGCTGAACCTTTACTTGTTCGAATGCGAAATATTTAAATGTATATTAATTTATGTTTACTTACTATTCGTATTGAAAGGATTATCGCAGTACGCCCAGGAGAGTTTAGGAAAGAAAGAAGCAAAAGTGTAGAATAAAGTCCACGCGACTATTATCATGTAATATATTAGCACAAAGGCCATAACGATCAACGTGCAATAACCTAGACCATGAAAAGCAGGTGCCATATGGCTGAAAGCCTTTATGGGCCCCAATCTAGTGTACTGGCCCATACAAAGCTCCAAGAAGAATATTGGCAGACCCATGGTGATTAACATGAGAATGAAGGGAATTAAAAAGGCACCTATAACAATCGTACATTAATCGTACGCGATTGACAAAACCTCATATTAATTTTAAATTTAATATTTTATTTTAAATCTAATTTTCGCAACATATATATATATATACTTTGTCGTTGTGCATTAAAGTTAATATAAAACTTGCTAAGAAAGAAAGTTGTGAGTGTATCTCTATTAAAAGTAAATTTTTGTTTCATCGTTATATTGTTTTTTTTTTTTATAATCAACTGATTAAAGATTTTTTTCTTGCAAAGATTGAATATTAGAGAGTAGTACTATTTTAAAATGTTTTATAATTTATATTAAAAGTTTAATTAATTTATTAAAAATTATTAAAAACTACTAGTTTTGAATCGCTTGGAGAGTGACTTAGAAAAGAGAGAGAGACTTCCTGGATTTTTATCTATAGCTATTTTTGAATCCCTGAAGCGCAATCTTAAAGTTCACATACAGTTTTACAAAGTTTGTATCTATAATTTTTCGACGCTCTACACAAGAATAAAGATACTATGCACGGCACAGTACGCCATATAGGGTGTTCCAAATTTTAACAGCTGAACTCTGCCAATATATTTTGTAAGTATAAAAATCTATAAACCCTTTAAATTAATTCAAATATATATATATAGTAATAAATAATTCAAATATAAACAATTTAAAGTAAGTTATCAATCTATTCTATTCTTAATTTTTACTATACTATTTTTATAAAGCATATATATATATATATATGTGTGTGTGTGCTTTATAAAAATCTTATAAAAGTCTATTTTTATTTTTACTTTTTCATCTTTTTTATTTTTACTCTTTCAACACGCATGCACAGTTTTACCATTAAACCCGAGACACTCTGTATATAATTCGATGGTCGTATCTAAAGCATGTATACCATGTTCCACGTAAACTATGGAACAGATACATACGCGAACATGGCGGTTACACACGCGTACGTACCACCGCCATTGCGATATATGAAGAGAGGGAAACGCCAAACATTGCCGATGCCAACGGCATACCCAATGCAGGATAGAACAAATTCGATCTGGTTGGCCCAAACACCTCGCTTCGGCTCGTTCGGGAGCTCCACCAAAACGCCGCCAACTCCGAGAGAAACCCTCTTCACCTGCCAATAACACACGGGAGGTACATTATATTTGCATCATATAAATTATCGCCAAGTCGACGATCTGGAAAGATCTGATGTCATGCCGTGGACACGTGAACGGTCGAGAAGAATTGTAGAAACGCGGACCTCAAACATTAAGTCGATCATCAATATTTACATAACGAGACACATGCTCGAATTGGTGCACATTTATCTTTTAACTTTGACAACCAAAATTTAATCTAAATTTAATCTAAATTTGAAGAAATTAAATACAGAATTTCATTGTACTTATGTAATGAGAAATCTTCTATTAATTTTAAACTATGTATAAATAAAAAAAAATAAAAAATGGAATAAAAAATCATTTTTAAAAAAGTGACGCTGTATATTCCCATCTCCATTGCTAAACTTTTGCGCGTCGCATTTTATAAATATGAAAAAGATAGACATAAATAATATTTTTAGATCTGTGTAAAAAAAATTCTGTAAATATTTGTTTTAATATTTCGATAGATATAAAATTCGATAGATATGAAATTCTTAAGTGTAATTTTTCAAAAAATTTTTGAAATAAAAACGGAAAAATTCATTTATATCAAAGTTCAATATTTCTAAAATCAAATTCAAATACTTTTTTAAATTATTTACAACATCAATCATATTTCGACAAATTTGAAAGTATAGATATAGATTTGCATGTACATCTTAAAAAGATATTTATTTCAGGTGATAAGAAATACGTATTTTGAACTGATTTCTCTTTTCTCTTTATTTATTCTAAATAATATACAAATAATTAATCACATTATATCGATAATTATCGTCCATTTTTACTACTTGTCTATTACTACTCATTTCATTCAAAATAACTTCTTTGTTTAACTTATTTTTTATGTTTTCTTAGATCTAAGAATTAGAAAAAAATAAAGATTAAACCAAAATTAGCCTACATTGATAGAAATAGAACACGTAATGCATGTTTGTCTTAAGAAATAACTAACCTGGGATTCTGCCATAGTGAACGTAGTATCGAACTCAACTCACTGTCATGTGACAAGCGACCTCGATTCAAGTCTTCAAAACCGCATTGATGACTGGGCGTCAACGCGATCAGACAGCTATAATAATGTATACGACGCCAAGATAATCGAGCGATATATCAAAAGATAATTTCCGGATCCACTCGATTGGCCCTCGCCTTGAACAAATAAACTTGATCGCATCTCGATTGTTTCGTTTAATGTGACGTATAATATTTTCATTAAAATCTGCACTATAAAGTACGCAATTACAGTACAGTAGAAAATCTGATAAGGTAATAAATAATCTTGCCAGATTTACAGATAACAAAGTGTACTTCTTAGAATGCCAATTCAGCTTGAATTCATTCAAGGTGAAAGATCGCACATACGCATAGCATTCCTTTATTATTACCTGTCATAACTGCTACTTTAGAAATCTTATAATTTAGACGATGCTTAAAAATGAAACTTAATCCTCAGAAAAATAAAGGTCTAAAAAATTAATTTTTTTTTAGGGAATATTTATTCTGTTTTAATATACAATAATTTTAATATACAATAATTTTAATATACAATACTTTTAATATACAATAATTTAAATAATTAAAAATTTAAATAATTAAATCAATTTTTAAATGAGTCCACATATATTCAGTTCGTAAGCTAAAGCTTTGAAAAAGTCCAATTGAAATTATCTTGTTATCAGATGTGAGATTATCAATCTTTTGTAAATGTTTCAAGTAACGGAATTTTGCAATATTATCTAAAAATAAGAGTGCAAGTAAATAACAAGAAAATCTTTTCTTTTTAATTGCTTACTGTATTTTCTTTTGTTATCTCGTGATAGACAAAGATATCGGAAATATTTACTACAATATAATATAAATCGCAGAATTATCTGCTAATTTGAATTAAATTTTTTTTTCTCAAATCACAAAAAAGTACAATATGTAAACTATATTTAAATTATAATTTTTTTTATGTCATTAAAGAAAAACTCATTTATTAATGATTAAAATCTCGACTATGTATTTTCAGTTATATCTACATTTTTTACATCTCTCATTACTGACTGTCACATATTTTGGATAAAACAATTTTTATATAGTCTTTTTATAAGGTTAAATGATTAAAAGCGGATAACTAAAGAAATTTTTATTGGTTTATCATTGATAACACTAGTATCTTTGATTTAAGTATCTTTCACCAATATCTGTGATTTAAAATATAAAAAAAAACGAATTATGACTTTGGCGAAATTATATTAAATAGAGGCAAAAGCTTTTGAAGCGCTGTAACATATTTTTTATCTGTATGCTTTTTTGAAACATACTAAATCAATTTTTATACATTTTTTAAATTTCTTAGAAAAAATAGATTATAATTTTGTTTAATTTAAAAGAATTATAATTGTATTAAAAGTTACGACAACAATAGCAGTTACAAAAAAATTGACACAAGATAAGTAATTGTTTTCCATGATTTTTGACAATTGCACTTATTTCCTTAAGATTGTTTCTTGATTTTTGTTTTCACAACAGCTAAAGAGTTAAAAAGAAATTATTTACATTATATGACAAATCTAATATATTTATCTTTGGTTTCCTATTGATTTCCTAGCTTATACATTGCAGAGCGCGGTAAAATTCAGAAATGAAAGGGAGCGACCGTGGTGGAAAAAAAGGGCGTACTACTTTATCGCGGAAATGTCGTCGACGGGGAAAAAACTGTTTTATTCGAAAGGACCGGGAAAGAAATGATCTCGCTATCGCCCGATCGCGTATGCAGGAGCATCGTGATAAAGGGAGAACGATTCTCGAATGGGAAAAGCGAGCAAATCTGCTCCCACGGAGCGCTGGGATAAAAGAGACGATTTGCAAACTTGCTCTCAGAGTGACACATACGGAGCTGCGATTCCGTCCGGAAGGCAAACGCAAGCACGAAGTTATCGTTTATAAAGATCCTACCCGACAGAGAGAGAGCCGCAACAAACTTTATGAATTATGGAACAATCCCGCGTCGGAAAAATAATAGACGTCTGCGTCTACGTTTCGATTCGATTCTTTCGGCTCGTGTGTCAACTAAACGTTTTCTAATCTGGATCTTATTTCGGGAAGCTCCTCCGAATTCACGTGCCGAAGGGTTCGAGAGACAGGATGAGCTTCGTCCTCGCGTTATAACACGTGAGAACTTCACTCTATCGAGTCACAAAAAAAAAATTTGGCAATATCGATGAGTCGGCCGGTTCGAAATTCGAGAGATCGAAACTTCACGCGCCCTCGCGGAACTTGTAACTTTATTTACAATATGAATTTGCAAATAGTCGAAAATGGAGAGTGACGTAGTGCAATATCGTGCAATCGGTGGTACGTACGTATTCACCGTATGTACCACCGATTTTCGTCCGGATGCGCGTTATTGCGGGGCAATTTCTCCGACTTGGTCAATTCGACAGTTTATCTTTGGTCGCTTTATTGCATTCGCTCGACGCTAATGCAAACGTTTTTCTTTAAAGTTCTGCCCTCCACCTGTCCGCATTTGCCTCATCCTTTTCCAACCCCTCTCTGTCCCTCCCCTGTCCCGCCCCTTCTGCTACCCCTGCCCCTCGCCGGGCCAGCTATGCCGAGCAGATGTGCCGATCGATGTTACCGATGGGCCAACCGCTAAATCGTACCGTGTGTACCCGGTTGCTCGAAGTCACAGCACTAACACTACGGATGAAATTAACAGAAGCGACCGCGCCGGAAAGGGCACTATCGGCAAACTTGCTAAGCTTGCGCCAGGGTCAATATAGTTATCCTCTCCTCCAAGAGTATTCGCGACTGTGTATGCTTGCGCGTGTGTATTATTTCAAGCTTCCAGATTTTAGCAAGGACCCGTCGCCTCATTACGCCTACGAGTTTCCTGTTTCTTTTGATTTACGTAATCCTAATGGATTGTTGTTAAATCGCTTGATAATATCGCCAGATGGACGAGCTTATTATTTTAAATTATATGTATAGATGTATATATGTTGATATTACAGATTAGGATTAAATGTACTCTAAATACTAATTTGTTCGAATCTTTTGAATATTAAAAAATTTTACTATCGAAATATAATAAACCTTCCTATCTGTTTATTCTATTCAAATATAGTAACTCTCTATTCAAATATGTAACAAAGACGAAGAATGTATGCATTTTCAAATAAGATAGTCTGAGTTTTTTACAAAAATTTTATTTAAGATAAGAAATTTCGATAATTCCAAAGATAAAAATTAATCAGTTTTCCTTTTTTTGCTCCGTATCAAAGTAATGTTCGATTAATATAGTAGAGATTCTATCAATATTTTTACAACAAAATTGGTATGGTCCAAAGAAATATTCATGCCATTCATATTTTCAGAATTTTATATTTTATTTAATAAAATAATTTAAAATAATTAAAATTACTGAAGAAATTTAAAATTAAAATTGTATCAAAATATTATTTTTTTAAATAAAATATCTTTAGAATATTTTTTCTTTATTTAATATAACCGAGAGAGAGAGAAAGAGAGAGAGAGAGAGAGAGAGAAACATATTACGAAAAATCCTGTTATTACAAATAAAAATTTACAATTCCTCACTTAGAAACTGTCTTTAATGTCTCTCTCGATACAAGATGCGATTAACAAAGTAACAAAAAGTGTCTCTTACCAGAAAAGTCAAAGTTTTACTAGAATTGCAAAAGTTACTATTCCGAACTGTGTTAATTGACTTTAAAAGAATAGATCGTTTCTCGATTAAAGTTAGAGGACAAATGCAGAAAACATCTCTCAATTTACTTGTTTTTCCATAGAATTATTAACTCCTTTTTTATTTCTCTCCCCTCTTTTTCCCGCACATGTTTTCACTCAAAGTCTTGCAATATTTATTATTCGCAAGTTTGCATCAAAACATATTCTACAGACATTCAATTTGCCCTCCTGCATTCTATCTATCTTCTTTAACAAGGTGTATTTTTGAAGTGATAACACGGTCACCGAATCTCGCATTTCGTCGTGTTCGATCTCGTCATGCAACGGCGTGCAAATGGAATCAGCAGTCGAAAACACAAGTTGAACGGTAACGAAGAGACGAGCACTTCCGGTGGTCGTTGCTAGCGTCGATAAAAGCACCGGGAACGATAATATCACTCGCGCAAGCGTGATATTCTGATCTAGAGGAAGGTAAAGTAACGATCAACCGCCTTCCGAGCAGTTAGGCGATGGCAGTTAGGCGATGGCACAGGAATCCTCCTTTGACCGCTAAAACGCGGTGATCAATAATTAAAGAAACCCGATAGCACCGACGTGTTACGCCGTGCATCGTTCCATCGCATCGTAAAAGGCAGATCTCATCACGAATATGTCGCACATCCGGCGTACCGCACGACGTATCCAGGATGTATCCGGAGAATCGCGTCGCAAAGCACCATAGCGGAAAAGTTCGTGAAAAAACAAGTGATAAAAATCGTTTGTGAATTTTTATTCCGAGAGGAAGTTTTCAAACGTTGCTGTTATGAACGTGATGGTGTAACAACTGACTTCAGGAATTTCACAACATAACAGTTAACATCAATAAAAGTTTTATTTCTTTCTAAAAAAAAAATTTTAATTATCTAGCTTAGAGAAATCAACCTCAATAATCCTGATCCTAACAAATATTGTCAAAGTCATAACTATGACTTAGCAGTTAAAGAGTTTTAATCATAACATCTATTATTTATTAAAAATTTATTAATAAATAAAATAGATTAATATAATATAAATATGAATGTTAATAAATGTTAAACATGAAATTATTATATATTTATATATTTAAATAAATATATGGAGAAGATCGGGCGGAAATCTTCTTGCAATCTTACTTAGATAAATTTTAGAATCTAAATTTATTTTCAAATTTATTTCTAATTTAAACTAAACTAAAATAGAATTTAAATTATATTATAGTTTTTTTGAGCCGAAATTGTCAGAGGAGAAGTTCCATTTCTTTCCTGACAAGGCATTTACTGAAATATGCAATTATTTATACTCATCTGTACTTAAATATGCAAATAACTTAAACTAAATAATTAGTATATAAGTTTTAGCGTTATATTCCTCCTGCTTATACAACAACTTTATAAAAATAGCTTGTACAGATTTAATCTTTGATCCTTTAATCTTTGTAGGCAATATCGTTGATGCTACATCGATCGAAACTTTTTACTATGTCGTTGCAACGATGGCAAAATGGCCGAGCAACGTCTGGAAAGCGGCACTTTCGATACAATAAATACGAAATCATGTGCAAACCGAAACGTACTCTTCCAATACCTATCTTCCGCGTGGTCACTGTTCGTTCAGTTGTGAAAACTTAATTCACCGATTTGGTCTGCCGTTTTATCTCTTAG